AGAAAAACATTCTTCTTTATCTGCCGGCCGTTAGTGGAAAAATTTTTCATTCACCTGCAAACTGCAACCTGCCTGCACTGCCTGCAGGTTGCAGGCAGTTTACAATGCAGGTGATCAGCTCTGGTTTACAGAATGTTAGCAGACCGTTCTATTTGGCCTGGATAAGCACACACCCCCTCTATCTCTTTCTGAGGTTTTCTGAACGTTCACTGCCATAATCGCAATTATCACTGCAAATCATTCGAAGTTCGCTTGAACGCGATGAATAAACACATTTCAAATGTACTGTCATTATACTTTTAATGAATTCTATGGACTTTTAAATTTTAAGCAAATACTTTTTCGATATCAAAATTCAAACCTTCAATTAAGTTAAATGTATATTACACTCATCACTCTCGCTCGGTGCGATGTTAGCAGAATAAATCTACGAATGATAATGTGAAAGTTTGAGATTCTTCAAGAAATACTTTGTTAACAATTAAAGAAATTCTAATTAATCGTTTTAGTTGACAATGTACAAATGTCATCAATGTCTAAATATGATCAAGCGGGTTCGAATTTGTTTACAACACAAGATAAAGCGATCGACGAACTTTTAAAGAACACTCATGGAGAAAGTCAACCGTATCCACATCAAACTACAGTGATAAAAAAATCGATCGAAACCGGAAACACATTAATTTGTTTGCCATCTGGCACTGGTAAAACTTTTATTTCTCTTTTATTGGTGAAATATTATTTGATGAGAAAAATGAAATCACCAAATGAGCAGAGTAAATTTTTAGCATTTTTTCTTGGACCAAAACGAACGAAACTTAAACAGAAGTTTGAAATACTGAAACAAATGAACGGTCTTCAAGTAATAATTGATGCTGGAAATAATAATGATGTCAGCAAGTACATAGAGAAATATGAAGTGATTATTACAACACCACAAAAACTACTTAATAGTTTGGTATCGAACGCAATATCAAACAAGAATATTGATGTTATAATTTTTGATCAATGTCATGATGCTGTAGGAGATAATCCCTACTGTCAAATAATGAAATTATTATCGAATAAAGATGAAAAGCAGCCAGTTATTATTGGTTTAACAGACACGATCAGTAAGCACAAAGACTAGTAAGAATGTTTCATAGCATTAAAATCTAATCGAATCAATCTGAAAATTGTACTACAGCTAGCTGAGACCATATTCCAGCGATCAATTTCTTTTTAAAACGTTGCTACATTGTCTTTAAGCGTTATGTGATTTCCAAAGTCAAAAAGCTTAGTTTCTCAAGGAGCTTTTGCTATGATTTATGCAGAATATGATGGTAAAAGTAGTTCAGAAGTAAACCTTTGAGATACACCCTTAACATTTCCAACTCGATCGTATGAAGTTTTATTAATGTGGTAGCGTGTGAAAGCTAAAAATTAGGTTTTCTAGGAGAGACGTAATAACAAAAACATGAGTTTCTCTTCTCATTTCTAAATTCTACATAAATTTTATGCTCAATGAGATATTTTTTCTCAAATTTATAACAAGATTGAAGAGTGAAGGAAAAATTAATTTCGAAAAACTTTTTTAATTTTTATAGGTTTGTGCAGTCCAGTCACATTTCAAATAATTCGCAGGCTAATGGCGCTATGTGACATATTTAAATGTGCTACCATATGTATTAATGTGAATAAAGAGTTGCATAACCAGGACAATGATATAGTATGTGTGCAAATTGAACAACTAAAGTCAGTTCTGTCAAAATTACAAAAGGATGAAAAACAAAACGTAAGCAATTTGAAAAGAAAGATGAGCTTCATAAAATCTGTGCAAAAGCTGCCAAACTACGCTGTGAACGAATTTCAGTACGGTTTCATAAAAAAGCTCCTAACTTGGTTGAAATAAACAGAGAAAAGCTACGATAATAGTTTAATGCAAACATCAAACGTATTCAAGAGCCAACTAAGAAATCATTCAAGAAAAAGACATAAGAAGGATTTTGAGATTTGTTCCTGAAAGAAAATGAGTTGTAGTTTTGACGAAAGACTGTTGTGGCTTCCCATATCTTTTATCTTGCAGAGTGAAGACTCCACAGATATGGAACGAAGTCTTTTCATAGGTATACCGTAAACCTAATTAAGGGCTTATAGCAGCACCAATCTCACAGTTTTGACATATTTAAGTTTATTGAAACAACTCTGATTATAGCAAACCGATTGAATTCAACAAGATGAAAATATGACAAAAATTTGATATTACTCAAAAATGCTGTGACCGTAGCACAGCATTTACCGGGAAAATCGAGTACTTCATTCAGGATCGTTCGTACTTTCCAAAAATTTCTGCCCAGGGAAATGCTAAAAACTCCGGCTGATTTTTAAGTGAAGGTAACAAATTTAGACATTGTCAGATCGTGATTTTAGAATATTACTCCGGTTATCACTAAGAGAAGGATGGTCTGAAACATCACAGTGGCTTCTAAGATTTTTGACTTCTAGTGTCTGTCACTAGAACTACTAACTACTAAGGCAAGTATTAAAACATCAGGCTCTGTCAACTGCCCTAGAGAACGTACTTGGAACGAACTTGGATTAAGTACTTCGTCTGCGTAATGAAGTCGGTACTTGTCTTTTTTCAAGAAATAAATTTACTTGTAAGTACTTGTCAAGTACTTGTCCTTGTTGCCCAGCACTTTGAGAAAGTACTTCTTAGCAATAAGGCAAGTATTTCGATCATTGACAAGTACTTAACAAGTAATCAAGTACTTGCATCAACTACGTTCTCTACGGTACTAATTAAATAAGTTGGCTTCGTTTTAAAACCAACCCTAGCCTCCCAATCTCGTTCTAGTTGGAAAATTTTGAGAACAGTCCGATTTGAACCACTCGTGTGGCGATATCTTGCGATCGGAGATGAACTGAGTCAAACAACTATCGTCACTAAGCTTTAAGTCGCCTCCGTCCCCCGTCAGAAACTTATCTCTGAAAATATCAGTTCCATCTTGACCAAATTTTCAAGAGATGGTAATCTTGTGAAAGTATAACAACGATGCGGCTTGTCCAACTAACGGTCTCCTTTTTTTCGCTCTTTTTCATAAAACTATGGCAATAAAGTCAGAAAATAAACTAAAACTGCAACTAGATCATTAAATAAATTAAGGGCCCCCCTCCCCTCTAAATTTTTTTCCCAGAACACTCAGTCTTACTGAAAATTTTACTGAATATGTATCTGACCATTGATAGTTCTGAGTAAAAATTTGAGCTCATAATATTGAGTTTTTCGCGAGTTATTGTAACCTCAAGGGTCAAAAAGTAGGTGTCCGTGTGTCAAAGATTTTGTTTTCAGTTTT